GTTATTAGTCATNGACAATCTGTCAGTAAATTAAGTACTGACATGTTGAAAAATGGCTCAGTCTTCTCTAATCCACGATCAATCGATTAGTCAACCAACCAACCGACCGACCGATCACCAATCGCTCAATTCTCAAATCAGTCAGCCAGTTATCACAGCTAGTCAGTCAGTCAGTCAGTCAGTCAGTCAGTCGGTCGGTCGGTCAGTCAGTCAATCAGTCAGTTAGTCAATGAATCCGTCAGTCAGTCAATCAGACCGTCAGTCAGTCAGTCGGTCAGTCAGTTGATAGGTCATCCACCCCATATAAACTACCTAAGAAATTAAAATAACAATTTATGAATTAATAAAAAGAGAAGATACTACTTAACAAATATATAGATGTATAATACCGGTACCATATACGTACGCGAGAAAATGTATATAGCGAAATGTCGCATACAGAGCATATCTTTAGCCTTTACTAGCACTGACTTACAGTCACAGGAGGAATTATAAATTTCACTTTACAGTGCACGGTGGCTGGAATGCCTGGGGTCCTTGGTCTACCTGTGGCAAAACCTGTGGGGGAGCTGTAAGAGAGCGTACTCGTTTCTGTACAAACCCACCTCCCTTTCATGGTGGACGGGGTTGTGGCACACACTATTACGAGTCCAAGGAGTGTGCTATAAATAAATGTCCAGGTGAGGGATAGCAATTAGATTGATTTTCTATAGTTATTGTAATTACCTGGTGCTTATCTAAAAAAGGTTGTATTCTAAACAGTCATGTACAATTCGCATCAATTGATGCCCGGGTGACAGGACATTTCTTCACTGGAGGCTAAAACTGTCTGAGCTTTTCCAGGACCACATATCCGTATCTGCGTAATGATATGGGACTGTGCCCTCCACAATCGTTCGCCCTTTGCTTCCTCCCCTGTGGTTAATTTTTCAAGCATCCCACTTGACACTCTAGCCATACAGATTCCTTTTTGGGGGCAGCCTTTGCATTTAGTTCCAATATATGTTTTTATATGAAAACAACGTAGTCCATGGTAATTGGTCAAATTGGAGCAACTGGACAGAATGCAGCGTCACTTGTGGAGTTGGTGTAAGGTCACGCGAACGGCAGTGCGACAATCCCAGACCAGCCTATGGTGGAAGAACTTGTGAAGGAATTCACAAGGACAAGAAGTCATGCAGTACTGGTGAAGTTTGTGTAGGTAGGTGTATAATTAAACCATGTCCACATGACGTTTAATCCTCATAATCGCCATCTACATGTATGTCAGTATATACCTGTATATAGAATGGAGGGAGTACAGAGAAGAAGGAACTGTTCGAACGAGACTACGCAGGACGAAACAACAAAAATAATAACAAAAGAAAACAAAACAAAAAGAAAGAAAAGGAAATTAATATTCAACCCCCTTTAGATTTGAATAAGCGATGACTTATTCCCTGAAATATTCATCTGTTGATTCATTATTAAATATTACATTCGGTGATCTTTACGGCCAACCATCATTATTGGCAAAGTAGGTATAGAGATCGCATGACAAACGTTGGCCCAAAACACAATGGGACCGCAGAGGTCTCCAAGCACTTAAGTACGAAACTAAGTGCCTGATTTATTTTAGTTTGCTTGGCTTATGAAACTGAGATAGAACTCTAACTTAACACCACGCAAGGATTAACTACAATCACGATGGGCTCCTGCTATAACCCAGCTTTTAACAAGCCCGATAAATAAAGTTGTTTAAAATCAACAGGCAGTAGCTAACTTTCGAATACTTAACGATCTTTATTTTAAAATTGATATAAAACAATAATAGTAAAATAGGTATTACGTGTCCCATTCGAAAATGACATGGCTAGTCGAGTCGGGAGGAAACAAAATGACGAGCTCAGTGAATCGATATCTGGGTTCTTTTTAATTATTTTTGTTCCTTTTACAGCTGGAGTTGGTTGCTATAACAGCTTTCCTTCAGATAGACTAGGAAACTTCACTGATGAGATCCAGTGGTCCGGTCTCTTTTCGTCACAGATGCAAAAGATTGTAAAGAAATGCGCTCAATTGGCGGCAAAGAAGCGAAAGAGATTCTTTGCGGTGGAAGATTTTGGCAACTGTCACGGAGCTCGGGTGTTCTCCTCTGGCAGTGAATCAAAAGGAACCCGGTGTATATTTGGTGTAGGTGTTAAGAGTCATTTCTTTGTATACGAAATTTCCTTGTAATTGATACCGAACTCAATTGTGGATAAAAGTAGTATTAGCGAAACAAAATGCGATAAAAAATGGAAACTGAATTTTAGCCATTTGTAAACTTGAAAAAACACTGATGATTAATCGATGAAATTTTCTGTACTCGTAACTAGATTTGTTTTCCTTTGTGTGTGTTTGATTCGATTTCATTTTTAAACCATTTTACAAATTTATTGTGAGAATAAATAAAACTTAAATACTTCGTAATATAAATTGTGCACATGCTCAGTTGCTTTAACTGACGTAATGGTCCGAGGTTAGAAGTGAATGACGGGAAGATAAAAGCGAACTTTGAGATTAAGAACGAGAAGACTAGTACAGCGACACAAAAATTTGTATAAAAAATAAATACACAGATAAATAAAAACTACCCTGAACAAACCTTTAATATTAACGTAACACTCAACACCCTAGCAACTCAGTAACTCTTCTGCTCGATAAACGAGGGACTCAGCAAAATTTTAAGCTCGACTTACTCACAGCTCTGCAAGCATTGGCTCGAGAAATGAGACATGCACTAACTCTTTGTCGCGGCGCACGAGCCAGCTGTTGTATTATAAATCAGAGTGTGAATGTACTTCGATGACCTCGTCTAGCACTTCGAATTCTGGAGATCCTTTTTCCTCTGTTGCGTGTCCTGTTAGAGATTGACTTGGTTATTTTGTGACATGCTCCGAGACTGCGCTCTGCCTGCGATCTTAGTTTGGAAGAACATGGCAGTTTTAAATAGCTGAACTGATATTGGCATTGGTAAATGTCAGGGT